CGCAGGGAACAGCACCGGGGGACAGCTTGTCCGCAGACAAGTCGCGGACAAACGCCCGAGATCCCCAGACCCGAAACGCAGACGCATTGCCAACCTTCCCCGTCCACCGCAAAGTAAGAGAGGTCTCTGGCAAGGAGACCCGGGGCTGAAGGTTGAGTTGACGCGCTGCATACGGAACCACGAACGGCCACAGAAAATGGGGAGCAGCCGCATGGATCATGGACGTACGAGCGACGTCCATGACCATGCCAATGCGGCGCTCAGCAATCCCATTTTGGTGTGGAGAGGCCGGAAGCGTGAAGGTGTGGCGGATGCCCTGTGCACGACAGATGGCTCCCAGACGGGTAGAGGAAAACTCCCCGCCTCTGTCAGAGTGCAGACGCAGAACAGGAAAGTCCGAGCCGAAACTCTCTCTGAGCTGGAGACGAGCTGCGCGGATCCAGTCGATCAACACCTCAATGACGTCAACCTTGCTGCGCAAGGGGAACACCGTGGTGTAACGCGAGTAGTCGTCAACCACCAATAGGAAGTAACGCTCGTGACCCTGGCCACGGATGCGGGCGGGGCCCCATACGTCCATGTGAAGAGTCTGCAGGGGAGCCTCTGTCGGCGGAAACTCCGAGGAGTGAGGGGCGGCGCGCTGCCGCCCCTCGACGCAGGGAACGCAAATAGGGGCAGGCCTCGGAGGGAGGGGAGGGAGGGACCGGGGGAGACCAGAGACAAGGACACGGGAGGCCATGCCTCGGAGACGAGGCAGGGAGAGGTGACCAAGGCGGTGGTGCCAAAGGAGAGTCTGGTGGGACAACAGTCGACACGAGCAGGGAGCAGACTCAGGACCAGACCTGGACGCTGCAGCAAACACTTGACTTGACGCAGCTACCTGACCAGACTCAGCAACTGGAGGAGACTTAGTAGTCAGTGTGTACAGGCTCGACCCCGGCCGACGGGTAAACGTGGCCAAGTGTCGGCCCGTCCGAGCACAAGTACAGTGGGTCACCTGCTGACTTGCAGGAGTGAACTGATCAACCCCCCGATCCTGTAGATCAGCACCACTCACCAAGTTCGTAGAGAACGAGGGGAGGTAGAGACCTGACAGGGTGCCAGAGGGGGCTACCGGACACGGTAAGACAGTGGAGAAGCTAGCAAGGACAGGACTCCCAGAGGGGTCCGCCAGGGAGACCGCAACCGGCCGACTGAGCGGCGTAAGCGTGGTGCGGTCTCGAAAGAAGGAGCGGGAAGCACCCGAGTCAAAGGTGAAGGTGTGTAAGGCCTGAGCCGACGTGGTACCTGAGAGAGCAGACTCATCGGCACCTGAGGCAGCAGACGCACTAGCACTTAGAGCAGCAGCCTCACCAGCACCTAGAGCAGCAGCCTCAATGCCCGGGTCAGGCGGAACACACAGGTAACAGTCACCCTCATCACTAGTAGACATTGCATACATGGCGGCAAGAATAGCATCATAGTCAAGATCAAAGATAGCAACCCCCGCCCTAGACAGCTCTCCCCAGCGAGGGATCTCAGTGGCGTCAGGGAACTGATGACGCCAAGCCTCCGTCAGGCGGCCGAAGCAGCGGTGGGTGGAGTGCGGGCCCCCGCACTGCTCACCAGCGCGGTCGCCGGTACAGAGGACGTAGGTGCAGGGACCAGTACCCCCACCTCGCTGACGCCCAGCGTACCACTCACGAAGCTGCTGGGGGGACGGGGTCTCACGAGTGCGCTGCTGCCGCTGGCGCTGACCACCACCTAAGCCGCCCCGCTGCGCAGAGCCACCCCGACTAGCTCCACCTCCTCCGCCGCCACCTCCGCCACCGCCGCCACCGCCTCCTCCTCCGCTCCCACCGCCACCGCCGCCGCCGCCTCCGCCACCACCGCTGCCACCGAAGCCCCCACCCCCGCCACCACTCCCACCACCACCCCCACTCCCTCCGCCTCCTCCACCTCCACCTACACCTCCACCGCCCCCACCAGCCCCTCCAGTGCCCTTGCCCCCCTTGCCCTTGCCGGTGCGGCGTCGCCCACTAGGGGCAGACGCAGCGCCGACCGAATCGGTGCCAACGAAGTCGACGACAGCAACAGAGGCAACAGAGGGCAAAAGGGGGGAGGGGGAGCACCCCTCAAAGACATGGGCACGTGGGTCACCTCTAGAGGCTCCAGCGACTATACTCTTCTCAGCTGCAAGGAGGCACTCCTCTAGGAGGTCAACGGTGAGTGTGGTGGGGCAAACAGAGAGGAAGTGGTCCCTGACCGAGCGAAGGGAGTCAAGGAGCCGTGTGACTTTGTAGTAGAGGGTGATGTACATGGGGGGGGGGTTCTTGGCGCAGAACTCAGCAGGAAGCGCAGCGCGGTAGCGGGTGTCACTAGTGCGAAGGTGCGTAACGAGGTCAGCGACAGTGGGAAAGGCGGCGAGGTCAGGAAACAGGTACGGCAGTATGAGGCGGCTAAGAGCAGCAGTGGCAGGGGAAGAGTAGCGTGCAACTACAGCGTCGTACAAGGTCTTAGCACTCTTGTACTAACTAAAGTGCGCACGCTCAGTGGTCGGTAAGTGGCGACGCACAGCAAGACGGGCAGCAGCATCGCCGGTGGCCCACTGTGAGCGAACAGTGCTGTCAGCATCATCAGACGGGGCAGGAGAGGCACCAGAGGTGAGATCGAGCAGGGAGAGTCCGTCTGCCCTATCGCACTGTAGGAAAAGTTGTAGGTTATCTACCCAGACCTCGAAGTCAACAACACGACCCTCAGCATCAAAGGTAAGGACACTGGGGGTAGCCATGACAGCAGTGGTCTAGTAGGGGGGTGCTCTCACCAGTCCGGGTGGGCAGGGCCGGGGCGCGCCAGAAGGAACAGAGCAGCAACCGCGGAAGCAGCGGCTCCGCAGTGGCTCGGTAGCGGCAGCTCGACGGCGGCCTCGGTGGCTCGGCTGTTGGGCGGCTCGGCGACTCGGCTGCTGGGCGGCTCGGCTGCTGGGCGGCTCGGCGGCTCGGCGGCTCGACTGCTGGGCGGCTCGCCGGCTCGGCTGCTAGGTGGCTCGGCTGCTTGGTAGGGGCGGCGACGGGGCCGGCAGAGGCGGCGACGGGGCCGCGTAGGGGTGGCGACGGGGCCGTTAGGGGCAGCGACGGGGCCGGTAGGGGCGGTGACAGGGCCGCGAGGGGCGGCGAAGGGGCCGCGAGGGGCGGCGACGGGGCCGCGTAGGGGCGGCGACGGGGCCGCTAGGGGCGGCGACAGGGCCGTGTAGGGGCGGCGACGGGGCCGCGTAGGGGCGGCGACGGGGCCGCTAAGGGCGGCGACGGGACCGCGTAGGGGCGGCAACGGTGCCGCTAGGGGCGGCGACGATGCCGGTAGGGGCGGCGACGGGGCCGCTAGGGGCGGTGACAGGGCCGCGTAGGGGCCGCGAGGGGCCTGGAAGGGCGGCGACGGGGCTGCTAGGGGCGGAGACGGGGCCGCTAGGGGCGGCGACGGAGCCGGTAGGGGCGGCGACGGGGCCGCTAGGGGCGGCGACAGGGCCGCGTAGGGGCCGCGAGGGGCCTGGAAGGGCGGCGACGGGGCCGCTAGGGGCGGCGACGGGGCCGCTAAGGGTGGCGCGAGGGGCCGTGAGAGGGGCCTCTAGGAGGGCTCGACAGAAGGGCGGCCCACGGGGCGCGCCTCGGGCAGGAGCGACTGGCGCTCCGGTCAGAAACAAAAAATCAGTGGTGGGCCCAAGGAAGCGTTCCCACTAGGGAACCTGCTCTATACCATGTGAAGAAATGAGGAATGAATGAACTAGCAAACAGATGGGTACAAGTAGGAAAACCTAGAAGTGTTGTACCCTATATTGTCTAGCCCACTATAGCCTACACAGACTATAGCATATGAGTTTGACATCTTAACCACGCGAGGGTACTTCTCATTTATCAAACTTATTTAGTCGGGTTGTTTCAAACTTTACGAGGGTAGAATCTAGCATTCCCTACGCGAGATGACGGCAGAAAAAACTCAGTGAATGCCGAGTGTGACAAATGTCACTCCGTCTATCTAGGAGCACTAAGTGTGAGTTCCTTAGACGGAAGTGCTTTCAGCTGCAGAATCGTAGCCTCGATGACTCTGGGTGTTAATAACATTACCCAGAAACGAACAAAGGGGGTTTGAAAGAACAAAGTTCACCTGGTTAAAATACCGCGGACTAGGTGTACTGATTTATAAAGGATGTTCCAGCAGCGAGCAGCCACGTGGAGTTTTGCTTTTTGTCAAATAGGCAGTTGATGATATCCTTCATCATCGTCACCCTCCAATACCTTCAACTCGAGGATTTTCGTCCACAGCAGGATAGTATAGTTCGTCGCGTCGCCCGTCACTTTCCACCCAACACGCGTCACGGGAGTAAGGATGACGAGCCTCCGTGCCGCCCCTCATCCCACCATGGCCGCGGCGCCTCCCTCGCAGCAGCTCGCCTCGTCGCTCACATCACATGCACACCTCGCATCCGTCGCAGCAACCTCACGTGCGACTCTAAGAGCAGTCGCCCAACCGCCTCTGCGATCGTCGCTGTTCGCCACCAGCACGTCCACCGCGTTCGCGGAGTCGTCGGGCCTCCTGGGCTGCAGGTTGGGGAGCAGCGCGCGGCGCGCGGCACGGCGTGCAGGGCCGTCGGGGCGGGTGGTGGTGCGCGCGGCGGTGTTCGACCAGCTGAGCTCGAGTCTGGAGCAGGCGTGGACCAAGCTGCGCGCGCAAGGTGCGCCATCGGAACGCGTGTCCGGAGCACGCTGACCTGCTTCTCCCATTCCCATTGACACGTTCATGCACGTGTTTCAATCAATTCGCCGTGCGTCCCCTCCTTTCCTGCGCGCTAGCCGCTGGTCCGGCCACCTCCCCTTCCCCCCTCCTCCTCCCTTCTCCCCGCCACGATCGCAGACAAGCTGACGCGCGACAACATCAAGGAGCCGATGCGAGACATTCGGCGCGCGCTGCTCGAGGCCGATGTGAGTTGCGCTGCTCGAGGCCGATGTGAGTTGCGCTGATAGATTGATATGCGCACGCCATGGCGCCACACATTGCGCGCACGCCAGGGCGCCACCGCAGAACCGACGCGCATCCCCATGCACTCTTCCCCCCCATCGTCTCCCTTTCGCAATTCCCCCGTGAACCGCACGCCGTTCCTGGTGCTGCAGGTGAGTCTACCGGTGGTGCGGCGGTTTGTGCGCGAGGTGACGGAGAGGGCGGTGGGCGTGGACGTGATCCGCGGCGTGCGGCCGGACCAGCAGCTCGTCAAGGTGGTCAACGACCAGCTCGTGGCGCTCATGGGCGGCAACGTCGCGGAGATCGCGTACGCGCCTGAGGGCAAGGGCCCCACCGTGGTGCTCATGGCGGGGCTGCAGGGCGTCGGCAAGACCACCGCGTGCGGCAAGCTCGCTCTCTTCCTCAAGAAGAAGGTGCGGGAGGGGGTGGGGAGGGGGGGGGAAAGGCCGCGCGCAGGGGCATGGAGAAGCGACGCAAAGGGAAGAGACGGGGCTTGTATGTGTTGCTGCCGCGAGATGGAAGGTGCAGTTGGCCTGCCTCATGTGCTCGTGTGCTCCCAGTGTGCACCCGTCCGCTTGCGTGCATGCGCTCATGTGCGCTTGTGCCTCGCTGCATGGATTTACTCCACCATATCCCGCCCGACTACCCCTCTCCCCCCCTTCCCCGCCGCTCCCCCTGGCCCGGGGGTGCGCGCAGGGCAAGGCGAGCATGCTGGTGGCCACGGACGTGTACCGCCCCGCCGCCATCGAGCAGCTGCAGACGCTGGGCGCGCAGGTGAGCAGCTGCAGACGCTGGGCGCGCAGGTGAGCAGCTGCAGCATGCAGGACGAGGGGCAGGCAGTGAAAGGGTGTGGGGGGTGGGTGGATGGGGCAGTGAATGGCTTATCGCTGGCCCCTTGAGCAAATTGCTCTTCTCCCCGCTGCACCTCGCGCTGCCCTTCTCCCCGCTGCACCTCGCGCTGCCCTTCTCCCTCGCAACTCAACGCTCCCACATGCCACGTGCGTGCATGCGTGTGGGGGGGCGCGGTGGCAGGTGGGAGTGCCGGTGTACGCGGAGGGCACGGACGCACGGCCGGTGGACATCGCACGGCAGGGCGTGGCGGCCGCCAAGAAGGCGGGCGTGGATGTCGTGATTGTCGACACAGCTGGTCGCCTGCAGGTGAGCGTTCCTCCCTGCATCGTGCCTCCCTGCATCGTGCCTCACTGCATCGTGCCTCACTGCATCGTGCCTCCCTGCATCGTGCCTCACTGCATCGTGCCTCCCTGCATCGTGCCTCACTGCATCGTGCCTCACTGCATCGTGCCTCCCTGCATCGTGCCTCACTGCATCGTGCCTCCCTGCATCGTTCCTCACTGCATCGTTCCTCACTGCATCATTCCTCCCTGCATCGTTCCTCACTGCATCGTGCCTCACTGCATCGTGCCTCCCTGCATCGTTCCTCACTGCATCGTTCCTCCCTGCATCATTCCTCACTGCATCGTTCCTCACTGCATCGTTCCTCCCTGCATCGTTCCTCACTGCATCGTGCCTCACTGCATCGTTCCTCGCTGCATCGTTCCTCCCTGCATGCCGCACTGTGTGGCTACCGCCGCCGCTGCTGCTGCTGCTGCTGATTCTGCTGCTGTGTGGGATGGTGTGGTGTGCATGGTCCTGGTGTTTTGTGGTGTGGTGTGGTGTGGTGTGCGGTGGTGGTGGGTGCAGATAGACCGCAGCATGATGGAGGAGCTGAGGGGCATCAAGGCAGCGGTGAACCCCACGGAGGTGCTGCTCGTTGTCGATGCCATGACGGGCCAGGAGGCTGCCAGTGAGTGGGGAGGCTGCCAGTGAGTGGTGAGGCTGCCAGTGAGTGGGGAGGCTGCCAGTGAGTGGGGAGGCTGCCAGTGAGTCACCAGGCTGCTCGTGAGTCAGGATCCTGCGTCAAGCGTCAAGCGTGAAATCGGATGGTGTTGACGAGTGACGCAACCCTGAACCAGCGCCAAATGCATCGCAGCTGCACCTGCTGCTGCCTTCCATGCCTCACCCCTGCCCGCCCCTCTCCCCTGTCGCTGCGCCGTGCTGCATGCCCCCCCGTGGCGGCGCAGGTCTGGTGGCGGCGTTCAACGCGGAGGTGAGCATCACGGGTGCCATCCTCACCAAGGTGGACGGCGACTCACGTGGCGGCGCTGCTCTCAGCGTCAAGGAGGTCAGCCTCACTCTCACTCACCCACCCACCCGGGCTGCACCACTGGCCTTGCAGCACCACTCTCTTTCCCATGTGCTTCTTGTTTCCTTGGGCCTCCCACTCACTCCCGCGCTCATCGTACCCTCCCCACCCACCACCTGCCTGCTCCCCGTGTGCGTGTGTGGCGTGCGTGTGCGCGTGGGCAGGTGTCGGGGCGGCCGATCAAGTTTGTGGGGGAGGGCGAGACGATGAGCGCACTGGAGCCCTTCTACCCGGACCGCATGGCCAGCCGCATCCTCGGCATGGGCGACGTGCTCTCGTTTGTCGAGAAGGCACAGGAGCTGGTCAGTGCCCCCTGCTCACACATGCTCTTGTGGGGCAGTGGGCAGTGGGGCAGTAGGCGGTGGGCAGTGGGCAGTGTGCGACAGGAAGGGGTGTGGGTTGTGAGTGGATGGTGGTTGTGTTGTGTGCTGTGGTTGATATGTTGGAAGCCCACACTAAATGTGTTGCTGCATGTCTCGCACATTGCACATGGCTGATGGCGCATGGCACATGGAATCTGGCTGGCACGTAATGCATGGCCAATGGCACATGCCGCATGTCACATGGCACATGGGTCATGGCGTAGCGCACGTGACATGTGGTACATGCTGCATGGCGCATGGCACATGGCACATGGCATGGCACGTGGCGCATGGCGTTACACGTGGCGTGTGGCATGTGGCACATGGCGCATGGCATGGTGCATGGCATGGCGTGTGACATGGCGTGTGGCATGGCTGATGCATGGCATGGCATGGCAGATGGACAAGGAGGACGAGGCGGAGCTGAGGAAGCGCATCATGGAGGCAAAGTTTGACTTCAACGACATGCTCAAGCAGACGCGCATGATGGCGCGCATGGGGTCCATGGGCGGCATGCTCAAACTCATCCCCGGCATGAACAAGGTCTCCCCGCACCGCACCGCACCACACCGCCCCCCACCCCCCCACCTGCCTTGCATCCTCAATTCCACACCTCTGCTGTATGCCCTTCCATCTTCTTAACTCGCCCCACGTGCCACACCACAGTAACTGGTGTTCTGCTGTCCTTTCACTTGGTCTCATGGTACAGCCCGCAGCTTCCTCATCACCCGCCTTGCCTCTGCCACCCTCCCTCACTGCTGTGTGCCCACGCAACGCCCCACCCCGCATGCGCTGACAGCTGACACCGCAGCAGGTGCGCGAGGCAGAGAAGAGCCTCAAAGTCATGGAGTCCATGATCGCCTCCATGACCAACCGTCAGTGCCCCTCCACCCCCTCCCACCCTCTTCCACCCTCCTCCACCCTCCATCACCCTCCTCCACCCTCCATCACTCACTGTGACTCATGCCTGCACCGTTGCTTGCATTCGTCTCATGCTGACCACCTGTATCCCCATCGTGCTGACCACCTGTATCCCCATCGTGCTGACACCTGTATCCCCATCGTGCTGAAGCGTGCTGGAGCTGTGCCGCCTCCTTTCACTTTCCTAATACTCATTATCCTTGCACGTGCACTCCCCCCCATGCCCCTCGCCGCTCCCCCGTGCACCGCACCGCACCGCATCAGAGGAGCGTGCGGACCCGGAGCTGCTTGCCAAGAGCCCGTCGCGCCGCCGTCGAATTGCTAAAGGCTCGGGCAGAAGCCAGGAGCAGGTGGGCAGGTGAAGGAGGAGCAGGTGGGCAGCTTTTTGCTTCGCCCTTGGTCCTTTGCACTTTGTTACTGTCATCTCGAAGTGTGGTTTGCCGTTGCCGTGAATGATTGCTGTGCAAGTTGCGCGTGTGCAGGTGAGTGCGCTGATATCGCAGCTGTTCCAGATGCGAGTGCGCATGAAGGCCGTGGCCGACATGGTGTCTGGCAAGTCCATGCCCGCCATTCCCGGCCTCGACACATCCGGCGCCAAGAAGGTACGTCCCCGAGCCAACAAGGTACGTCCCCGAGCCAACAAGGTACGCCCCCGAGCCAACAAGGTACGTCCCCGAGCCAACAAGGTACGTCCCCGAGCCAACAAGGTACGTCCCCAAGCCAAGATGCTAGTTGCTTGCTGCATGTCATGGTTACGGCCATCTGCCTGGAGGTTCTCATCACCGTTTGGTGGTTTTTCTTTGTTTGGGCCGTTGCCTCCATGCAGGCCAGTTCCGGCAAGGCGAAGCGGAAGAAGAGCCGATCTGGCTTCTCACAACAGCTAGGGGACAACACGGCAGTGGCTGCCGGAGCAAAAGGATTCGGTGGTCGAAATTAGGAAATTGCAAAATAGATCCTGGAGTTGATGAGAAAGTTTTGCCACTTGAAAGAAGTTTCAAGATTTTCCAAACCGACGGTCAAAGCTGTGAACTTCTTCAGGCACTGACTGGGCCCAGTTGGAATGAGGACCTGCCAAATTGGTTCAAAGTTCGACGTACGGTAACTACAACCTACATCAATTAGTTTTGGGGTCAGGAAGCTACAGTGTGTTATTGCGCTATTTCGTGCCAACCAGCCTGCCACAGCGAATCGGAGGGCCCCTGGAAATTCAGCGACATGGGCATGACGCGCTGCGTGGCATGCGCTTTGGATGGCCTTGTGTTGAATTGCATTTCCGCTGCGCCGAGACTTGCTGCTGACCTACCTGCTTGCATACCCCCCAAACCCAACTTCATCCCTACGACCAAATCGACACGACGACCCACGCAAACTTTCCAGTAACGACGAAAGTAGGAGCAGCCCTTGATCAAATAGTTCCAGCCAGTATAATATATCTACGCTCCCATGCCCCTCGTCCTCCAGGCCATTGACAGCTGCTCACCCGTTTGAAATGGGCCCGTCGTCGATATCCTCCAGACAATAAGCGAATTCGATTCTCCGGGCTCGCACGACTCTATGCGACTGGCGTCGAGGTCGCACGACTCTAGGCGACTGGCATCGAGCTCGCACGACTCTAAGCGACTGGCTTCGAGCTCGCTGTCGCGCGGCTGCCAGCCATGCATATCCCCACCGCCCGCACCGCAGCTGCGAGTATGCGCCCACACTCCCGCTGCACCGTGTTCCCCTCCCGTCCGCGTCTCCCCTTCCTATCCCTCGCGCCGTGCCTGCTGCTACTGCTGCTCCCCCCCCGCATCCCCTCCGCCTCCGCCTTCGCGCCCGACGCCATCCGCGGCCTGCCGGGGCAGCCGCGCGGAGCGCCGGCGTTCGGGCAGTGGGCGGGGTACATACCGGTGGGGCCGGCGGGGCGGAAGCGGCTCTTCTATTGGCTCACGGAGTCCGTGACGGCGCCTCTCACCAAGCCGCTCGTGCTGTGGCTCAACGGAGGTGCGCACATGGGGCGCGAAGCGGGATGCTTAGACGTGACGAATGCGAGCGTGATTTGGGGGATGAAAAGATAGTCGTGGGATCGCGCTTCCTCTATGCGCGTGGGTCAGCTGGGAGTGTGAGGGAGGGTGCGTAGAGATGCGCGTAGGGAGGGATGACTGTTCCTCACCGCATGTCGGGTGTGCGTGGTGCCGTGGTGTGATCCGCAGGGCCAGGGTGCTCGTCCATCGGCTACGGCCTCCTGCAGGAGCTCGGGCCCTGGTGAGTTGCCGCCGCACTCTTGGTGACTTGAATGTGCCGCTTCGTCCTTGTGCGCCGAGTCGCGTGACGAGCGCGCTGACTGTGAGTGGGGCGTGCCTGTGTGCAGGCGAGTGGCGAGCCCCGCGGGTCGACAGCTACAGTTCAACCCGTACTCGTGGAACAAACGTAACCTCCTCCTCCCTGCCCCCTTGCCGCCTCGCCACTTGGCCCTCTTTGCCCCCCGCTGTCATGTGCCACAAGCCACTCCATTCTGCTGTCATGTGCCACAAGCCACTCCATTCTGCTGTCATGTGCCACAAGCCACTCCATTCTGCTGTCATGTGCCACAAGCCACTCCGTTCTGCTGCCATGTGCCACAAGCAACTCCATTCTGCTGTCATGTGCCACAAGCCACTCCGTTCTGCTGTCATGTGCCACAAGCCACTCCGTTCTGCTGCCTCCTCGTGCTACGTGCTCACACCTCCCCACTTACCTTCCCCGCCCGTTCCCCTGTGCGCGCAGTGGCGAACGTGCTGTTCCTGGACTCGCCTGCGGGCGCGGGCTTCTCGTACTCGCTGGCGGCCTCCGACCTCGCCACGGGCGACAACCAGACAGGTTTCCCCCCCGCCTCCCCGCTCCCCCTTCCCCCTCTCCCGCTCTTCCCACCTTTTCTTTCGATCCCCGTTCTGCCCCTTCCCCCCTTGCTCGTCCCTCTATTCTGCCTCCTCCTTTCTCACTCCCTCCCTCTCCCCTCCTCACTCCCCATCCCGTCGCCCCCCCCGTCCCAGCCCAGGACACGGTGCAGTTTCTGCGCGCCTTCCTCCGCCGCCACCCGCGCTACAACGGGCGCAAGCTGCTGCTGGCGGGGGAGAGTTACGCAGGTGAGGGGGGAAGGTTTGCAGGTAAGTGGGGAAGGTTTGCAGGAAGGGGGGTTGGGTATGCAGGTGGAAAACGGAGGTACGCGGGAGAGGAGAACAGAACAATGCGGGCGCTGTAAGAATTCGCCGTGACATCAATGCCCCTCCGCTTATCCCATTATACGCCTCCTCACGCCCTCCCCGCTCCCCCCACCTTGTGCGCGCAGGCCACTACATTCCGCAGCTGGCGGACGCGTTGGTGGCGATGGAGGCGCGCGCGGCGGGGAGGGCGCGCATGAGGGTGGGGGGCGTGCTGCTGGGCAACCCCTTCGTGCACGCGCGCGTTGACACCTCCTCGCGCGCGCGCTTCTTCCTCGACCACGGACTGCTCTCCCCCCGCCTCTTCTCTCAGGCCGCCCAGGCATGACCCCCTGCCGCCCAGGTATATCATCCCCTGCCGCCCAGGTATATCATCCCCTGCCGCCCAGGTATATCATCCCCTGCCGCCCAGGTATATCATCCCCTGCCGCCCAGGTATACCATCCCCTGCCGCCCAGGTATACCATCCCCTGCCGCCCAGGTATACCATCCCCTGCCGCCCAGGTATACCATCCCCTGCCGCCCAGGTATATCATCCCCTGCCGCCCAGGTATATCATCCCCTGCCGCCCTGCTCTGCGCTCTGCCACTCTCTCTCGTCATTCTGTTGGGGCGCCTTTTGTTCACCTCCTCATCTCCCACCATCACGAGCAAGTTAACACTATGTGTCCCTCTGCCCCGTTCCCCGTTCCCCCATGCCCCCCTGCCCCCCGCCCGCGGCAGTGCGGGTTCTCAGCGGACACGGTGCGGCCTGGCATCGCATGTGACGCTGTCATGAACGCCATTGCCACCGCTGATGTCAGTGCCGTGGCCCCTTGCCTCATGCCCCTTGCCTCATGTCCCATTCTTTCGTGTCTTCTCTGTTGCTGCAAGGAAGTGCCGGCAGTGCTGGCAGTGCCGAGCCATGAAATTGAGCAACAAGGGTTGCTGACGGCCGTGTTTGTGTGTGCATGTATCTCCCATCGCGCGTGCACCGGCATCAACCCATCACGCCCCCCAAGCACAGAGCGGCATCGACCCCTATGGTACCCACCCACCCACATTGCCTGCTCACCACCTCCCAAATGCTCTCACCACCCTCAATGCTCTCACCAAGCGCAAGCATTTGTCACGGTGTCCAACACACATACCCGTCTCACTCCATTCCAGCATGGCTTTTTCATATTGCACCTCAAACACTCGCTGCTTCGCACGCCCTCTCTTGCGTTAACACCACTCCACTCCTCAATCTCCCCCCCATCCAGACATCTACGCGCCAGTGTGCCTCTCCCCCGCCTACCGCTCCCTTCACCGCAACACGCAACGCTCTCTCCTCTCTCGCCTCTTCTCCTTCTCCTCTCCCCGCCCCTCCGCACCGCACTCCACCTCTCCTTCCGCCACCCCCTCCTCACCCTCGTCCTTACACCCTGCCTCACAAGCAAGAGGGGCGGGAGGGGGGCTGGTGGGGGCAATACAGGGTCAGAGCGCAAGTGTGTGGGGAGGAGAGGGGGAGAGCGGAGAGGGGGGAACAGGCGCAGTGAGGGGAGCAGAGGGAGCAGCAGGTGCAATGAGTGGCGTGGACGGGGAGGGGGAGGTGGAGGGGGCGGAGGATGCGGGGGCAGCGAGCAGGGCGTGCATGGACGTGTGGGTGCAGCGCTACCTGCAGTGGGCTCCCGTGCAGCGCGCCCTCCATGCCATGCCCGCTGCTGCTGCCGCCCAGCCCCACCACTGGGTGCCCTGTAGGTGCGAGGCACCAACCGTGCGCTCTCCATGCCTCGTTGCCGCACGCACTCCCACTCCTCCCTCCCTCCCTCCCTCTCTGCCTCCCTCCCTCCCTCTCTGCCTCCCTCCTTCCCTCCCTTGCTTCCTCCCTCCCTTGCTTCCTCTCTCCCTCCCTCCGCACCTCCCGCCCTCTCCCATTCCCCCACTTTTCCCGTTCTCAACTGTGCATCACTCTCACCCCCCTATCACCTACCACCCTCTCACCTACCCCCTTATTAATTTCCTCCTCCCTCCCTCTCTACCCCCCTCGCCCCCCCCCACAGCGCATCACTGCAGTACGCCAGGGGGGACATGGAGGACTCCATGCTGCCCGTGCTGCACCGCCTGCTCGCAGCGCAAGTGCCCCTCTGGATCATGTCGTGAGTGCCCCTCTGCCTCATGTCGTGAGTGCACTGGTGGGTGGAATGAGGTGGGTGCAGGGCGGAATGTCGTGGGCGGAATGTCGTGGAATGTCGTATGATGTTCTTAGTTCACGTCACCTCCACTGTACCAAGGCCACATGCTCTGCCCTCACTCCGTTGTTTGGAAACACACACCACTCCCCTGACCCCTGTCTGCACCGCTCATGCACCCCTCTGCACCCCTCTGCACCCCTCTGCACCCCTGTGCATGGCAGGGGTGACACGGACTCAGTGGTGCCGTTCACGGGCACGAGGCAGTGGGTGGCGGGGCTCAACCTGCCGCTGCTCGCCCCTCTCCACCCCTGGACGCTCCCCTCCACCCAGGTGCGTGCCCCTGCTGTGCACACACGGTGTAGCGTGGCGTGCAGGTGCTGCAGCATGGCACGCACACCACAGCCACGTGCTGCACCGCCGCCCTCACATCTCCCCTCACGCTTTCTCTCAATGCTCTCCATCATCCCCCGCTTCCTCCCTTCTGCCCCCCAATTCGCCCCTAAATCCTCCTCCCCCTCCCACCCCCGTCCCCCTCCCCTCCCGCTCACCTCCCCTGCCCCAGGTGGGCGGGTGGGTGACGCGGTACAAGGGCGTGACATTCATCACGGTGCGGGGGGCGGGCCACCAGATCCCCACGGGGCGACCCGCGGCCGCCCTCACCATCTTCCACCACTTCCTGCACGGCACCACGCTCCATGCCCTGCCCTCCTTCTAGCTGCCCCGTGCCCAAGCCATGGAGGGGACAGCCTGGAGGCAGCATGCACACAGCTAACCTGCTAACACGTTAACACACTAACACACAACGCCACTCCGCCACTTCCTGCCGAGGCCTTGCACACCACACGTGTACAGGCGGTGAAGATTATTTGCTTCGTTGTGCGCTGCACAGTAGCAGCAGCAGAAAGACTCGCATGGCATGGCACGTTATTTTGCTGTACTAGTATCTGGTGTTGGGAATAATAAGTCTTAAGCGCCTCTGTCGTGTCGAAACTCAGGACACTAGCGAAGCAGTCCGAATCGAAGCATCGCGAGTCAACCCTCGGAGGTTAGGGTAACCGCCTGGAGGTTACGCGAAGGTCAAAGGTCAGCGACCTTTGACTTGACAAATACAACGCGACAGCAATGACACACAACTGACTCGACATTGAGCAGTTGCCCGAGTCGCACTGTATCGAATCGCAACAGTAAAACGGTTTAAACTTATCTATTCGTATTCCTTGTACTCTTATATAAACCTTTGTATTTGCTTGTTTAATCAACTTACTTTGCCCTCACATACTAGCGCAAGGTGGTTCAAGGACTTTCATTCAAACGCTTCCGCTATTACAATCCTACTCAGACTTTAAGCTCTACAAAGATCCTAGGGCACCTCAGCCCAACATGGTATGAGAGCGGTTAGAGTTTAAAGTTATTTTTCCTTTTAACACTCAAATACAAGAAGACATGTCTGCAAGGAAGGAGAGGAGCTCCTCCAACGGCTCTCCAGGCACTACTCCTACTCCACCTCCTGCCTCTGGCCAACAGACAGAGGAAGGAACTACCACGAGACCAGCAGCTGGGTCCACGGAAACTCCCGCAGGCTTCGATCCAAACATGATGGAGAAGTTCTTCTCCTTCATGTCCTTCTACGAGCAGCACCAGCAAGGAGTACCTGCGCAGTCAAACAACAGCAAAAACAACAACGTGACTCCTATGAGCCTCGATGGCTCATCCTACGCACGCGGGATTCAACAACAACAATAGCAGCCTACCTTTGCGCCGTACGAGCCCCAAGGTGGCTCCGTCAGCTTCATGCCGCAACCGCAACCTGCACCGGGACAAGAAAGGGCATTGGATGCGTTACAAGTTCAATCGCAATTCGCGCATGTCCTAAAACTGCAAACGACAAAGCCTTTCGACGGCAAAGACTTCTTCACCTGGTCGTTCGAGTTCGAACTGATGATGGAAGGAGCACAGATTCTCGGCTTCTTCGACGGGTCCCTGCCATATCCAACAAACGGGACGCAATATGAGAAGCAGCAGTACACATATCAATCAATGATGGCGTACACGATACTGCTAAGAAACATCACCCCAACCCAGCAGCAGAACATCAGGACTTACCGAGGCTACGGCAACTCCGCGGAGCTCGCGTACAACCACCTGAAGAACCTGTTTCAAGCAACAGACAGCGTAAATCAAAGCAGGTTAATGGCGCAGCTGACAACGATTGAAATGAAACCAGGCGAGAAAGGCATGGCTTATATCAGCCGCTGCCGCGAACTGCGCGACAAGCTTCTTCGATGCGGCGGGTCGATTTCAGAAGACACCTTTGTCACGGAGGTCATCGGCGGTCTCGGCCCCCACTGGCGCTCCACTCGCGCCATATTATGAGCACACGGGAGGATCTCCGAAGCGGCACTCTGCGCCGAAATTCATGCTGAGCAGCAGGACATGGACCTGCAAGAAGAAAGACACAAGAAGAAAGCATTAGCACCGGAGTTTGCGTTTCACACTCAGCGACGATACAACGGCAACAACAATCGACAAAAGCAACAAGTAAAGACGGTACCTCCGTTCTGCCACATCTGCAAGACTTCGGGCCATCCTCGCACGCATTGCCCGTGTCGTCAGACAACACCACAGCGACAACTCCGGCCTTCAAGCTCCCAAGTTGCTTCAACGCAAGCAAATCCGACGACCACAATCCAAGCCTCAACAACTTCAACTGGACAACCTGCACAAGGTTCAAGAAGCATTGTCAATTGCATGGTGAAGATAACTGATTCGTGCACAACCGAGTCACCACCCCACTACTCACCGAAAGAACAACTCGACAACAGCACGCCTCGCCGCGAGTCACTCCAGCCGAATCCAACGTACGCCGCTATCGCTCAAAGCGAACCGTCCGGGCAAGACACCTGGTTCTTGGATAGTTGCTGCGGACAACACATGTGCTCCTCCGGACGCTTCGTACAACGCGAACATCGACTCCAGCGAGAAGTAGTCATCACGGTCGCCAACAACTAGAACCTGCGCACACGACGACAAGGAGTAGTTCAGCTTCAATCAAGAGATACAAACGTCATACTGCACATGTCAAAGGTACTCATCGCAGAAGGACTCGGTTATAACTTACTGAGTGTTAGCCAGGTGATGGCGAAACGGATTCACTTGGAAGCCGACAGCACCACCCAGGAGTTTAAGTTATACCACGGGAAGGGCGGCCTCTACATCAGAAGAGCAGTGTTGAAGAACAACGTCTTCGTTCTTGATTTCGTCCCCAACCTGGGCACTGCAGACAGCGACGCCATCGTCAACTTCACCGACTGGACACATCCTACGGATCTCGATCCCGACTTCAGCCCGGGAGGTTTCTGGTACTTGCACACCATCCCTGAAGCAGAACGAACACGAGCATTAGCAACGATTCAACAAACGGCAGCAGCAGAGACAACATCAGCAGCAGCAGAGACAACAACGGCAGCAGCAGAGACAAAATCAGCAGCAGCAGAGACAACAACGACAGCAGGAGAGACAACATCGGCAGCAGCAGAAACAACATCGGCAGCAGCAGGAACAACGACACCAGTCATCGTCGACGAAGCACCACCAACACCCGCACAGCAGCTGACCCCGACTCAACGAGAATTCCACCGAAGCGCCAAATTCGTCGCCAGCTTCTACTCCAACTCCGACGCGTATCAACGCTCACCCGGACATCGCGCCCCTGAAGACATCTGGCACGCACGCACAGGACATCCAAGCAATACGGTGTTAAATAACACAATACGAGCAGGAGTCCTAGACAAGGACTCACTACTACTACCTGACGGCAAAGAACTTCAACGTGCACGAGGGACTTGCCTCATCTGCCTCGAAGCCGACTTACCACATCGACCGTTTTCTTCTCGCCACAACCCGAGCGCACCTGCATACGCACCACTCGAAAAAGTATACAGCGACATCCTCTTCAATCGAGAACCAGGACAAGTCACCTACAATTACACGATCACCTTCATCGACGCCGCCACTCGATACGTCTGGCATCGAAACCTACCCAGCCGCGACATGGCACTCGCAGCGTTCGCCGCCTGGCTACCGATAGCAGAGAGGGAATCAGGAACACAGCTGAAAAGCTTCCAGTCAGACGGAGGTGGCGAATACACCTCTCAGCGCTTCAAGCAGTACCTGGCGGAAAGGGGAATCAAGCAACTCCTCTCCCTTCCCTACGCCCATCAGCAGCAAGGTGTGGTAGAAAGAATGAACAGGACTCTGCAGAATAGCATGCGCAAGCTGCTACGTGGCATGCGGCTACCCAACCACCAGTGGCCAGCAGCAATGGACCATGCTGTCATGCTGCACAACTTGCTGTCGTTGTCGTCACTCCCAAACAACGCATCACCGCATCTGCTGTGGACAGGAAAACAGGGCAGCACAAAAATGTTACGAGTTTTTGGGTGCATGGTACAGTACCGACCCCCAGAAGCACGAGCGGGAAGATTTTCGCAACGGGCACAGTGGGGACTACACCTCGGCATCGAGAAAAATTACAACGCGTGGAAAATCTTCGATGTCCACTCAAAGGAAACAGTAGCAGCACGTGATGTGATCTTCTACGAGCGACTCACCCTTCAAACGTACCTCGCCAACTTGCACGAGAATCAGGACCCCACAGGTGGCTTTCGTGGTGACCGAGCCTTCGCCTCAGCAGCGGACGAAGCAGACTGGGATGAACAGAACGTAGACAACGCATCGGAAGAAGCCGGACCTCTCCCGTTCTGCTCTGTCGACGTGCCCATGGACGAAGAAAATCCTCGCGACAGTGTCAACGCCGAAGTCTTCTACCACTTCGCCGACAACGGTTACGTAACACCTGCGACAGTCAACACAAACGAAGCAGAAAGATAGGGCCAAATTTCATACCCGATCCAGAAGCGGGAGACGAAGCAGCTTATCCCGAGGACCCAACACTCCCCCGATACTCACAGACTGGACTGCAAATCCTTGGTCTCGTCACCGCAGTCCACGGCAACGCATTTCCTAAAGAGCCTGCGACAGTTCAGCAGGCTCTGGGGGGGGAACACAGGGAGAAATGGCGTGAAGCCATGGACAGAGAATTGAAGGCATTAGAGGAACGCAACACCTGGAAGGTCGTTCCCGCAAGCGTGGCACGGAACAAGACCATTCTCACCGGGAAATGGGTCTTCCGCATCAAAACGAAAGCCGACGGCACAATCGAGAAGTTCAAAGCACGCTGGGTCGTGCGTGGATTCGACCAGGAGCAAGGACGAGACTTCACCGAGACTTTCGCCCCAGTTAGTCGACATACCTCTCTCCGAATTCTTCTCGCCGTCGCCGCCATGAAGAAGAAGAAGCTGCGACAAATTGACGTCGCCAACGCATTCCTCTACGCACCCGTCGACGCCGAAATCTTCGTCGAACTCCCCCACGGTACCCACGGAAACCCCAATCAGGTCTGCCAACTACTGAAATCGCTCTACGGAATCAAACAAGCTCCGTGACTGTGGCAACAGCACCTACACACCCGCCTCACTCGCATCGGATTCCGCCAACTGCCTCACGACCAAGGAATGTATCGTCTCACCAAAGGCGCAGACTACATCCTACTGATCGTCTATGTCGACGACTTGCTCTACATCGGCTCCACCAACGACGTCACTACCTGGTTCGAATGGGAGCTGCAGAAGGACCTCACGCTCATCGTCTCCTCCA